GGGATATCTTTTTTTTTTTTTTTTTTTTTTTTGGTACCAGGAATCGAACTCTGGTCCTTGTGCTTGAGTGGCAGTCGCCAGAACCACTGAGCTAAATCCTCAGCCCTTCAGTTGTTCTTTATTCAGAATTTTGAGCTCTCATTGCTGATCAAAACAGACATAAAAATTTAAGAAGGCAAGAGAAATCTGCTATTAGTTGCTGTGTCATATGAGCCACCAGGTTGTATGGGCAAGGGGCATTCAAATTTTAAACAGAATAACTCTGGGGAAGGTAATTCTTTATTACCTGTAGCACAGATGGGTGACTTTTAGGACCCAAACCACTGACTTGGGAGAGGCCTGGGCCTCCTCAGCTGTCTTGCCCTTTCTCTAGTATGAAAGTTGGAAGGATAGCCCTTCCTCTTATAGCTGTGTTTTATGTGCTCATTAACATTTTGGGCATGTGCTGTAGGTGAACTGTGCTAGGTGCAGAGAACACAGTAATCAATAAGTCTTTATTTATTTTTTGAGACAAGGTTTCACCATGTAACTCATAATGATCCTCCTGTTTCACCCTCCTGAGTGCTGAGATTACAGGCCTGTTGCCCTGGCTGCAGTGATAAACAAGTCTTGGCCCTAGAGTTTATAGTAGTTAACAGTAGAGTTTAGGCGCAGCTTTTCCTGCACTGGTCATTTAGCAAATCTACATTTTAGCAGTTATCATGCTCTAAAATCTTTTTTTCTGGAAAAGTTACCTACTTAGAGAGAAGTGATTTCCTTTAGATCAGAAGCTGTGTGGCCATTTGCTAAGTCAAAATTCTGCTCCTAAATAAGTATCCTGAAGAAGGAGAATATACCTGTTTAACCCTGCCTCCGGGGGTGGAGAGTAACAGTTTCCTTTGAGGAAGAAATCCTCACCTTTTTTTCCACCTGTATTTTCCCCAGATTTTATGACTGGTCGATAGTGTGATGTTTTAGCATTAAACTTACTTTCTTATTCTTTCTGTCTCTCATCAGGAGTCTGTTGAGTAACAGAGGATGTATAGAGGTTAAAAACGGGGTAAAGGAGGCCAGTGCCAGATAGGTTTACAGAGAATTCAAGTGCTTTCGCATAGTGACATGTTAGGAGAAATAGCTGAGATTGAAGTATGCTGGACACTGCTTTAACATGCATTGGCAGGGAAGATGTCTGGGAAGGTGACATTGGAACTAAGACCCAAATCATGTGAAGCAACCAGCCACATTAGAGTTTGATAGAATAAAACTTGCCTTTTGAAGGAAGGGTACACAAGCACGAAATCTGAAGTAGGTGCAGTAGGCTGTTTTCAAGGTGCTAAAGATAGCTTGTGCAGCTGGGGCGGTAAATCAGCAAGGGCATTTGTGACCATTTCTTTGAAACTACCTTGCCATCTTCCTCCTCATGTGGTTATGACTGGGTAAAATCCCACAGAAACAGTGTTCATGACATCGTGGACGCCTACTTGTAGACCAGTGCTGTCACTCAACTCTGTTAAGTAATACATGCATCATGTATTACAGTGCATGTATTAATAAGTGTACACATTACTTAGGCACCTCACAGTGTATTCATTGTGCACAGATGCACTTAACCAACACTGATTATATGGTTAGTGTATGCCAGGTAGAGTTCCCAAGGAGTTCAGCATCCAGATGAAAAATAAATAAATAAAAAGAAATGAACAACCATGTCCGGTGTGGTGGGTTTATTGCGGGAGGTGGGCTGATGGGCACAGTTGTTAAAAGATTTCCCATGGCAGGTGATACTTGAGCTGAGTTTTGAGGGTTGGATAAGAGTTTGTCAGGCATAACAGTAGGGAGAGGGCTTCTGTGGGGGTCAGAGTGTGGCAAAGAGGTAAAGAATTAGAAGACAGTTGTTTATAGCTGGAGTGGGCAGTTCCTAAGTGTGCGGTGACATTGCCAGAGGGCAGTGGAAGGTGACCAGAATCGGGGACAGGACTATAGAGAGAAGCAGAGCTGAGGAAATGGTTGAGGAAGAGAGAATTCCAGAGGAGTGGCTAATAGCTTTACACACTAAGAAGTGAGTTTTTGAGAAGGAGGCTGCCCAGAGCCTTTCTGAAATAGCTTGTACATTAGTCAGTCAAGGGAGAAGTACAATATGGCTGGCTGAAGGCCAAGTGGGATGGAAAGCAGAAACTGGGTTTGGAAAGTACTTTTAAGAAAATCAGTCGCGAAGTGAGCCAGTGGCCAAGTCATTGAGAGCAACCAGTGAGCTAAGGTTTTTCTCCTTAAAGTTGAGAGAAACCTTAGTTCATTGGAACAGTGTTGGGCAAGACCCAGCAGGGAGTGCAAGGTGGAAGATGCAGGAATGACAATCCCAGGAAACTGGAGGAAGTAGCTAAGGTGGGCATACTTCTCATGGTCAGGGGACAAAAGCTCAGTTTACGCTTGATGATGGAGAAGTGGTTGCCAAATGCTGCCTGTCCTGGCTACAGAACATCAGCTGAGCCACTTTCAGAATTATACTTTCCTGGGTCCTGTCTGTAGGGTCACATTTGGAAGGGCCAGTGTGGGCATCCAAAATCTGGATTTTTTTTTTTAGGGAGGTCTTTATTTTTTTGTCCTAGGACCTCACACATGCTAGGCAAACACTCTGTCACTAGCCACCTCCTCGGCCCCCAAAATCTGTATTTTAAAGGCTCCCCAGGCAAATTTAATGAACAAACAGATTTAGATCAAGACAAGAGGTTGGACAAGCAACAGCAAGGACAGAGAGATGCTGAAGGCCCGATTCTGGAAATAGCAGATAGAATGGATGGCATAGAGAGGAGAATTTGTAAAGGGGTTTCTGTAGGTAGGTTGGGTCAGTCAAGCTTGTTGGATTGGGGGGTAGGATGGAAGAAGAGTTGAAGGTGACTCTGGTTTATCATGAGGCTACCATTAACTAAAAACTTGGGAACATAGAGAAGGAAGGAGGAACTCCATGAATTCTGTCTTGGGCCTGTGTTGCATTGAAGAGTGTGGAGTCCTGTTGGGACACTTGGGCATGTCTGGAGCTGGACTGGATGTGCTGATGGGGGGATTAGGCCATGGGTGTGGATGAGGACTCAGATGCTTGTCAACGCCCTGGGTATCGTGCTAACTAGAATCCACATAGCCCTGCTGTGGGAACCAGCACAAAAGATCAGTTCAAGGTGGGACATACAGCATTCAACTGAGCTGGAACTTTTTCCTGAGTGAAACTTATCTGATCTAAAATATTATTAGGAAGTCTTGAATGCAGTTGGAAAAGCTCAGTGAGCCCATCTATGGTCTAGTGGTGTCACTTGCCATTCAGAGATGAACAAACCCTAAGGACTGTGGGGCATTCGAAGTCCACACCACACCTGCATTCCATCTCAAGGTCCCAGGAATATCTTCTGTTCCCCACATGATGCTGAGATGGGCACAACCAGTATTTCCCACTGTCACTTCTGTTTTGTGCTTT